GTACCACCCCCCCCCCCCCCCCATCCCTTTCCGGGTGGGATGGGGCCGTGAGCGCGGCCGAAGCGAGTTCGTTGGGAGTTTTGCTTTGGAGGCGCTAACGAGAGGTCCCGGGTGCCGCCTGCGTGGCGTGGAGCGAGCGCCTGTTGAGTGAGTACATCCCAGGGGCCATCAAGGTCATGGCCAACCCATCCGGTAAAAGGCCTCCCATGCTGGCCATGCCCCAGGCTGGGTGACAGGCCGCCTGGGACTCTGCCACACCACGAGACCCTTCTCCCCGGGCCCCGCGTGGGGTCTGCTTGGGGGCCCCGGGGTCCCGTGGCAGCCGCCGTGGTGTGCATGTGCCCTCGGTCAGCGCCCAGGGCTTGTCCTGCACGAGCTGCTGGTGCGAGGCCCCCTCTCCAGCCCTCGCCTCGGCCAGCCCCTGGGAGGGCTGGGGCCCGGGGCCGAGCAGGGCGGCTGGGCTGTGCCGTCGCAGCTCCGCCCTGCTGACGGAGCCGGCTCCCTCCCCGGGGAGCGCCGGGACCCTGACCCGCGCTGCACCGCGGCTCCAGCTGCTTCCCAGCCTCTCGCGGCCGAGGGAGGGACGTGGGGCCAGGCCCACCCGCACGCCTGGCTGCCACGCGCTGCTGGGAGCCGGCTCGGGGCCTGCCCCCGGGTACCCAAGAGGGCATTGGCTGCACAAGCAAAACCCTCCGGGTTCACACTCCCAGTTCTCAGTCCTCGTTGGGCTCTTCCCCCGTCAGGGCCTAGCGGCCGGCCGGTCCCTCGTCTAGTGTTTCAGCCCTTCCCCGGGCCCTGGGCCGGACGTGATGGCCCACCGCTGAGCGGCTGCGCGGCGAAGGGGAGTTTTCCTTCCTCCAGCAAAAGCCGACGGCTGCTGCCCGCGCCCGGCTATAATTAGAGCCCCGGCTGCGGTGGCGGCGGTGGAGCGGTCCCCCGCACCGGGCTCTGCTTCCTGTTTGCTGCATGTCTCCCGAGCCCGCAGCTTCCACAGCGATGGTGGCCGCGCTGCCCCTTCCCAGTGGGCACGGGCCCGGGCGGTGCCCACGTGCCAGTGCAAGAGGCCTGGGCCCCGGGGCTGCACTGGGCCACGAGGCTTTGGGAGGAGCCGCGGGACGTGGCTGGCACAGGGGATGGTTGCACTTGAGGCTGAGGACGGGCCGAAGCGCAAGCCCCAGCCCCAGCTCGCTCAGCACCAGGCTGATGTCAGAATGAGGCCTCAGCCCCTTCGCTGCCCTGGGCACCTGAGAGCAGGGTGCTGCCGTCTCCCCAGGGTGCTGTGTTGGAGAACCCGGCACGGCGCCGTCACTTCTGCAGTGGGCTGGGGTCTCTCCTGGGCAAGCCCTTCTGCTTTCGCAGCGGGTCGGGTGTGGGTGCAGGCGGGGTGCTCGGCCCGATGGCACCGGCTGTTCCACTGACGGCTGCGTTGCAGCGCGGCGGGCGCGTGCCCAGGGGAAGGAAAGTGCTGAGCTGCCGATGGAGGCGCGCGAGGACGCCCCGGGCAGGATTCTCCGCATGCACCGGGATCGGGTCCCGGCGTTTGCTCCGGGCCCGTCGTCTGCAGCCACCGGAGACGGTGCCCCCATCACGGCTGGTTCAGCTCTAAGGTTACGATGCTGCCTCTTTTGTGCGCAGGGAGAAGGGGACCTTCGGGGATTGCACGCAGAGCCTCGTTTCCCATCTTGGCTCCAATAGAACTGGACGAGGTAATTGCGGAGCGAGCTTCCTATTTGCTTTTGCAAGCAGCAAACTCCCATTAACAGAACAAAACCCACTTGATCAGTAAAAAATGTACAGTGCCCATTAGCGTTTCGGTAGCAAACTGTTGCGATCACGAAAGGTTTCATGAAGTGTCTCTAAAAGTGAAGCAATGAATTAAATACTGGCATTGAATAACGGCCATTAATCCGGGGGGTCGAGACTCGATTTGCATTAGTTACGGCACGCGGAGCAAGGTGCCGCAGGTAAGTGGCTGTCATTACTTCTGTTGTTAATTGTCCCTGGCTGGAGTTTTCACACGTTACAATGCACGTAGCACTTCCCTGGCCGCTTTCATGGGAGGATCTCAAAGCACGGTGCTGCCAAGGGCTGGCTGCTGGGCCAGGAGCTCAACACCAGTCTCTCCCCCCTGGTATTGATGGGCTAACTGGCCTGCCCCAGGCACCTCACGCGCCGGGCAGCAGCAGAGCTAGTGGAGAGCCCAGGGGTCCTGGCTGCTCGGCCCCCATCCCCAGCTGCAATCCTACCCCCTGGTGCAGGGGCTCTACACCTGGAGAGTGACTTGTCCCTCGTGTTTCCAGTTCCTGGTCTCAGAGCGAGCACAGAAGCGGCAAGGAAAGCACAAAGCACGGGGCATGGGGTGATGTGCATTGGCTCCTGGCAAGTCAGGGGAGGTGGCGAGGGGCAGCTGCATGGCAGTGCCAGGGCCTGGGGAGCCGGTGTGGAGCTGACTGCCGCGGCTGAGCTGGGCAGCGGTGCCGACGGGTTCCCTCTAGGGCCGACGGGCTGCACTGCAGCTCCCCGCCGCGCTCCCCGGCTCCGCTCCTCCAGCGCTGGGGGCAGCGGGGTCCTGCTCTTTTCGGTCCCATGCAGCCCCTGAAGCGATGTAGAAACACCGTCCACATGTGACGGCGCGTGTGACCCCGTTCTGCCTGGTCTGCAGGTACCTGGAGGTCCCACCGTGCAAGAGAGAGCGGCGCTATCCAGGTACGTCTCCCCCTGTCTTTTTGCTCCGTCCCTCCGAGCTGGGCCCTACCCCGGTCCGGCCCGGGCCCAGGGGGAATCCCAGGTCTCAGCCTCAGTAAGAGGGAGGCCAAGTCTGGGAGCACGGCTGCTGAGCGTGACCCGCAGGTGAGCCTCTGGCCTGCTCCAGCCGCCCCCCGCCCCCTCCAGGGGGATGCCAGATGTTAGCATCTGCTCCCCCTTGTCCAAAGGGCCCGCCTGGATGCCCTCGGGGCTTGCCCAGCCGTGACCTGCGGCAGCCTGACCCTGGCAGGGCTGAGGGCAGGGAGGCCTGCTCCTTGGGAGGCAGGCGGAGGAGTTCGGTGCACGCAGCTTGACGTAGGGCCGCGAGGGCACGCGGCCCCTTGGCACAAGGGCATTCGTGGAGTCGGGGCTGGGGAGGGGGAAGAGGTTGTGGGCTGAGAACCAGCCCCAGCTCAGGACCCAGTGGCTGCACACGGGGAGGTTGGTGGTTACCGGAGAGGGTGAGATTTGGCAGGCTCCATTGCCCAGGCTGGGGGCCTGGACCCTGCACGAGCAAACCGGGAGCGTTTGTGCAAGGGACAGAGTTTATGCAAGACGGAGGCAGCCGGGCTGGGGTCTGCGTGCGGGGCTCCCCGCCTGGCTCCCGGGTCCTGGGGCCGCGGTGGGATGCACTGCTGGGACTTAGACAGCCCCGCTCGCAGGGGCGCACGGTGCCAGGCGAGGCTCAAGTCCGGGTGCCCCTGTAGTGTCCTTCCCCTCCCTCGTCACCGCCTCTCGTGGCCCTGGCAGGACAGGGCACAGCGGGCCCTTGCCCCTGGCAGCCCTGCGCGGTGCGGCGGGGGCAGGGCAGGGCAGGGCTGTGCGCTCCCCACGGGCCGCCG